CTGTGCACACCAGTAACAGGTCTGCTCACACTGTAACCCCACTGGCTCAACGTTAATCCTGTGATAGGACATGTTAGCCATGTGAAAGGATCAAGGTGGCAAGGGTGAGCTGCGAGACAGCACCCATCTACTTGTGGGACCACTGCTAGGACCAGCACCCACTCCGCACGGAGTAGTTCGCTGTAGCACTAACACAGCTTGTGGAACAGGCTGATCCCAGCCCTGGGGACATACCAGGGCACCCTAGACTGCCCCACGGAGGGCTCTTCCCTGAAGACACCTCTGCTGCTGCAGGCACCCTGTGCTCTGCGGAGCAGCCAGGCGCGGGCGGCACTTCCCTCCGGGAGCTCCGGAGCAGTGGGAGGCAGCCCGGACTCACCTGGCAGTGCTGCACCTCGTCCGACAGCACCTGTATCACGGACTGTGGGCCTCCCTTTGCTCCAAAGAGGTCCAGCTCATCCAGTGCCTCCAGGGCAGCCTGCGAGCAGGGAGAGACCCAAGGCAGTGAGTCCTCCCCGGGGTGCTTGTCCATATGAGCTCACCCCATGCCAGCCCCTCTGCAGAACACRCTGCCCAACTTTAAACAGGGAAAGAGAGGTCAACAGGACCCGGGAAAGGAACAGTTATTCCAGTAGAACAACTCAGTTCATTCTTTCCTCCCAGCAAAAGCACAGATCAGGTGACAGAAACACGGATTTATCCCAGCGCACCAGTAGAAAGGCTTTCCTGCCCAGGAACCCATGAGTATCTAGCATGCCTCTGGGCTCAGCACCCTCAGCTCCAACACTGAAGTCCAACCCCTGCCTTTACACCCCCCGAATGGAAAGAGGCCACTGGTTGTTCAAACGCAGTCGTGGCAGCACGGCCACCCACCTCCCCTCTGGCTCCCAGCACCTCTCCCTGCTCACCTTGGCCATGCCGACAGAGCTGGCATTCAGCTCGGTGATGCCCTGGTTTGTCTTGTCTCCACGCTCCCATATGCCAAAGTCCTGTGCAAAGACACAGGGGTTCACAGCACTCTTGGGAAGCCCTTGAGCCCCACGGCCTTGGCCCCAGGGGACCCTGCTCCCACACTGTGCTGCGGAGCACRGCCCGCTGGAGACCTTCCCTTGGCCCCGGGCCTGGTCACGAAGCCCACAGCACCCAGCAGCACCCAGGCGCTCAGCAGGACTTTGCATCCAGCTCGTGGGAGCCCTGCAAGTGCCCCAGGCACCAGTTGGCTGCCTTGGCACCCCAGGAAACCCAAGCACCATCCTGCTGGCCCATGACTCTACTCACCGCCGTTTTGTAGGCTGCCTCAATGTAGAACACCAGGTTCTGGATGAAGTTGACCTCATCCAGGCTGTAAATTATGTGAAGGCCTGCAGCAAGGAGAGCTCACTTGAGTCCCTTYAAGCCTGCAAGCTGCTACAAAAGGGCTGCAGCAACCGAGACCCGACTCCTCTTCCCTGCATATCTGCTCTGGGTCAGTCTTGTCCTGGTAGGTCCCAGCACTCCCACCCCCATGGGGTTTCAGAGAAATGGTGTCTTTTAGGGAGCGTGAAYGACTCCTGTTTGCCTCAAGGGTTGTGAGCACACGACAAGAATGAKGGTGGTGGCCTCACCATGGACACCCTGAGGATGTGGGGAGCCCTGGGGATCAGCACACCCCGGCTTTCCTCCCTCCTCCGTGCCGAGGCCTGCCCGAATAGCTGCTGCCCTGGGGCCTCAGGGCTGCTCCACGTGGGCAGCAGAAGCCCCTTCCCCTCCGAGACCCAGGGCCCGAAACTGCGCCCCCGCAGCAGCCTCACCTGAGGCCGTCATCTGCGCCAGCATGAGCAGGTAGAGGGAAGTGGCGTCCATCTGCAGGTGACCCCACTCGTTGTCCCCCACCACCGTGGCGCACGTGTGGGTGTTGAACTTGGCGTGCAGGCAGTCCCTGGTGCTCTGGCTGTACTTGAACGCCTCCACCTTGTCCACCTTGAGAAGAGCAAAGGGATGTAGGTGCCAGCCAAACACAAGCGCCAGGGAGGTCCTGCAGCCCCACAGCTATGGGCTGTGCCAGGCTCTGGCCAGCTGCAGCTCCTAATGCTTAGGTAGGCACTCACAGCCTTTTCAAGGGTGCAAGTCCCTGCAACAGCTCAGACAGCAGGTCCAAGCTCACACACCACCCTTACTACGGGGCACCACTGCAGCAAGGCTGCGAGCCATGGAGAAGACACATCTGCACTTGCACCACACTGAGAGACAAGGGTGGCCCCAAGTTCSTCAAGGGACAGGAGCTACACAGTCCCGGTGTGAGACAGGCCCCAGGAGAGGGAGCAGCTGGCAAGGCCTCTTCTGTTGCCCACAACACTAGGGCTCCCAGGAAGAGAGCTCAGCAGCAGGACAGATGCCAACCTGGCTTATTTTAAGACTTCCTGGAAAAGGGCCATTTCTCTGCACATTGGGGAAGGTTGGGGAGACACTGCGTAGCTGGGTCTGGCTGTCCTGGTGATGGACCAGAGCTGCAAGGACATCACTTCATTCAGAGATGATCTCGAGCCCCTACCTGTCTCATCATGCACTGCAGAAGTCCACGCATCAGCTTCACCACACTCTGCAGGAACAAGGAAAACAAGCTTGTAAACGCCCGCACAGCGAGGAGAAGCCCTGACTCAGGACCAGCTGGTCGCTGACCTTTGCAGGACTCCGGTGTCTGTAACCAGAGCCCCTGCTCACATTTCCAGCCCTTACTCTCCAGGCAATSAGCAGCGCTCCCAGCCAAGCTGTGGGGCTGGAGGCGGGAGGTCAAGCCGGTGGGACACAGCTCCTCCATCTCAGGGAAATGGGGCTGAGTCCCTGCATCATCCCAGGCCCACAGCTGAATCTCAGGCAGGGTTTAAGCCCCAGCTCCAGCACAGCCTGCAAAGAGCAGCCTCTGGGATCCTCTCCTATTGCCTCTGCAGCCTCCCCAGACTGCAGGGCAGCCTTGTCCCCATATCTTCACTTGCCCACAGCCCCCCATGTCTTTTCAGACCCAGAGCTGGGCCGCACAAACAGCAAACCAGCTGTTGGTCTCAAAGAGCTCCCAGTGGGCAGGAGGCCTTTCCCGCGCCGGGTTCCCCCTACCTGCTCCAGCTCGTAGGCTTTCGCCTTGTCCTCATCGCGGTCGGCGTTCTTGCGGTAGGCCATGCCCAGGCCCCACACGGCCAGGATGCTGTAGACRTTGTCGCGCACCCAGGCATCTTTGTGGTCCTCGCTGGCGGGAAGCAAGCCCGTCACCGGGTCCTGCGGGGAGGGAGGACACGAGATGGGTGAGGGACTTCCAGCTAGACTCAGTGAAGCTCTTTTCCAACCACAACGATTCTATGATCTATGAGAGCGCTAGTGGTCCGGGTGGCATCTCGTTTCAGGGGGCAGCTTGGTCCCCGTGCCAGCTCCTGACCACCAACATCCCCCCACTCCCCTGCCCTCCCCCAGCCCGCCCTGGCCACGCAGGTGCCCGGGCCAGGGGCAAACCCTCCCCGCGGGGTCCCAGGGCCCCATCGAGGGGCACTGGACTGGGGCTGCGGCCGTGGAGGGGGCTCCGGAGCCCGGCAAAGAGCCGCCCGCCGCCCCACCGGCTCCGGAGCCCGGTAAAGAGCCGCCTGCGGCCCCCGGAGCCCGGTAAAGAGCCGCCCGCCGC